AAATATTTGCTTTATACATTATTTTCTGGCTTTATTTATATTTTTTAATTGTGAAACACACGTTTAATTAGTTTTGTTGTTGTTGTTGTTGTGGTTGAAGCGAGAAAAAAATCCCACAAAAGTTGAGCAACAATTTCTCGTAATTCCAATTGTTGTTGGCTTCACTTTTCATACATGAAATACTTGAAAACAACATTTTTCATTAATTGGTCCAATTTTCAAAATGTTTCAATTTGCGTACACGCATTTTGCGTGAATTGAGCAAGTTGAGCAAGATTAAAAACTTACATTTTGAGCCAGCGGCCTGGTTCGAAGCTTTGCGGAAAAGGCGTTAGGCGTTAAGATTTTTCATGGTAGATCTGTTAAATATACAGCATTGCAAGTCCTTAAAAAGCTGATCTGATGGATTTGGATTTTATTCTATGGGTTTTTTGCCCCACGTGGATCAAAAGATTGGTTGGTTTTTGTGTCTAAAATCTGTGATGCACATATGAAACCATTTTTGTTGTTGTCTACCTCTTGGGACACTAAATATGAAGTGTTTTTGATCGTACGATGCACTAGAGGGCTCTAGACGGGTATATTCAACTGGCAGATGTCCTGAACCCAGAGCCAAGCTGTGGATAGAAGCTCTTAAAATATACGCGTTCCACTATAAAAACCAATGCACACAATCGATATTTATCGATATTCGGCAAGCGACAGAAGATATCCCTATTTTTATGTATTTATTATTTTTTGATTTGCACAAAAGCAGCAAATCCTTTTAAACCAAATCATATTTCAATGGGTTCAGTTAACAACAAAAAAAAAAAAAAGAGTTTTTCATCCTTGCGGGTAAATTGTTGGTCTGCTGTAAAAAATAAGCACTCAATTCAATCAAGACAAATAGTTCTGTACAAATACATATGTGTATTGGGAAACATACATATAAACATACTGGCCACATGTATGCACATATGTGCTTATGTGTAAGCAGATTCCTTTTTGTGAACTGCACATTTGGTTTGCCTTTTAATTTGTCGGGCATAATGTGGCTGAAATTTTCATATAAATATAGCACACCAAATTGGATGTGTAAGTTCTCATATTACGAAACGGATTGTAAATGTGTCATATTTTGGATGTCTTCCCCATGCCCTAATAACTAAAAAAAAAACAAAAGACGCTTTAAACAGCTTTGCGTTTTCGCATTTTATTTAAAAATTGAATATTACCTTAAGATCAGACTATGCCATGCTCTTCTCTCTAATTGGACCCATTTATTTCAGAGAGCTAAACAATTTGGTATAAAGCGTCTTATAGCCTCCTCGTTGCATCTGGGTCAAAAGTCTCATGGGTATTTAATCTATTCTATTCTGACTGCCGAAAGCACTCGCTGCTGAAAATTGCCTTTCTATGTGATTCTCATGACTTCAAAGCCAGCCCCTGACTTCTAAGCCATATGTCTGAAGGTTATTTAATCTATTCTTTTCTGGCTGCCGAAAGCACTCACTCGAAAGCAATCGCCTTTCTATGCGATTCTCATGACTTCATAGGCTGCTCATGACTATGTCTCAAGGGTATTTAGTTTCCGGCGTGCCGAAAATAGCTCTTCTTTTTTCTTGTTTCTTTTTTTCCAGTTGTTTTGGCACTTTCTGTAGAATTTTGATTGTTTGTGTTATTTAGCAGCCGTAATGCGAAACTCATGGGCATTTTTGTTGTATTTTTTTTATTGTTTAGATTATTGAGCAATTGAAGGGGCACCGGAGCCATCCGATTCGTCCACAATGCTACCGCAGCAGTATTGCCTGCGCTGGAAGTACCATCATAGCAATCTGCAGACGATGTTCTCGCAGTTGCTGGACCGGGGCTGTTTCTGTGATGTGACCCTGGCCTGCGAGGGTCAATTGATACGGGCACATCGTGTGGTCCTGTGCGCGTGCAGCACCTTCTTCGATTCGGTCCTGTCGAACTATGCCAGCGAGCGTGATCCGATCATCATCATGAAGGATGTGACTTTCGCCGAGGTCAAGTGTCTCATTGAGTTCATGTACAAGGGCGAGATCAATGTGGAGCACGTGAGCATAGCCCATCCAAATGCAGTTGGCTTCAATTTATATGCATATATTTTGCCGCTTCTTCCTCTTGTGCCAATCTACAGGCCAGCCTGCCCTCGCTGCTGAAGACCGCTGACGATTTGAAAATCAAGGGTCTGGCCGAGGTTACCTGGCGCGACGATGACGACGGACCGCCGCCTCCGATGCCAGCTGCCGAGTTTCATTCGCCGCCGCGCAGCCTGGCCGAGAGCTATGCCCAGGACATGCTTCACCAGCAGGCGCCGCATCTGCAGCCACAGCTCGGCGGCGAGCGTGAACGGGATCGCGAACGCCATTCGCCAGCGGCCCTCGAGAATGCCCTGGGCCTGAATGCTGGCAGCCGTATGCCCGCACTGACGCCCCTACATAGTGCCAGCGCCAGCTTGGAATCCGGAGCGACCGTTGATCCGTATCTCGGACCCAAGCGCAAACGAGGTCGCCCGCCGCTCGACGACACTTACGATGTATTCAATGTGTGAGTGCTTGACCGAATAAGGCAAAGCAAATTGTCTCCTGTTATATATTCATATTTCTTCCTTTCCAGACGTAAACTGGCTCAATATGCAGCAAATTTGGAGCCCACACAGCGCGCGTTTTTGGAGTCAGCGCGTCCCTTTGCCGAGGAGCCGCTGCCCGTAGCACATTCCGCCGCACTGGCCTCGCCGCCCGCCGCCTGCCCGCCCAAGCAGCGCCAGCGACAGCGTCAGCAACAGCAGCAGCAGCAGCAGCAACAGCAGCAGCAACAATCGACGCCAGAAGAAAAGGAACTGGGCGAGCGCGAGCTGGGCTCAACACAGGATTGGGCCAATGGCTCGGAGCGTGGCCAGGGCAACATGACGCCCAAGCTGAGCGATGTGGAGCTCAAGACAGAGCTGGAACTAAGCGATGATGCGACAAGTGTGCAGACAGCAGCAGCTGCAGCAGGAGCAGGAGCAGCAGCATCTGTGCCGCTGTCCAGCGCCAACAGGAAGCAGGACAAGCCGGCAGAGCGTCGCGAGCGCCATGGCAAGCTGCGTCATGCCACGCGTCGACTCTATGGGGAGCGCGAGAAGGCCGGCGAGGAGAAAGCGGCGCGTGCGCATCGTGCTGCCGTTACAACAACAGCGAGCGAGTCGCCGCAGACGGAGCAGGCGACGGAGGCAGACACGGAGGTGGAGCTGGAGGTGGAGGCATCAAGCGGCGCATTGCCGCAGCCCATCGAGGAGATTGAGAACGAGCATCTGGTGGCCAATCGTGCGGAATCGCCCGGCTCAACACGCTCCTCGGCACTGCTGCCCGCCGGCTTTGGCGGCAAGTACACGCACGGCGAAGCTACCGGAGCCGGCGGCTACTTGATCAACGATCACAGTCTGCTCATGGCCCACGATTTTGCGCCCAGTGTGGCCAGCGCGGCGGCTGCGGCAGCTGTGGCAGCGGCAGCTGTTGCCGCCGCCACCGCCAATGGCAATGCCAATGGGAATGGCAACAATTCGGCGGCAGCCGGCGTCGAGCATGGCACCGACTTTGCCGAAGTGAAGCTGGAGGATTACGATGCAGCCGAATTGCGGCTGACCAATGAGGAGTTAACGCAGTGGCAGGATGTTATCAAAATGGATGACTATTTGGCCAAGGGGCGACGTCCGCAGTTCTGGGAGGAGCCATTTACAAAGCGCGTGAGTGCCGCCCGATTGCCAACAGTGTATCAATGAGTCATCCGATTTCTCATCAATTTAGGTGCTCGATGCCATCAAAAACAAAAGACTTGAAATGAAGAAAGCCGCACGCATTTTGGGCGTCTCCTATGGCACACTCTACGGCCGCTATCGGGAGGTCTACGGCTGCCTGAAGCATCCATATAGGTGAGCGTCACAATGTTGGCCATTTATACTACGTCTAACTGTGCTTTACTCGCATTCCACAGCGGCACCAATTTTCGGAATTCTGTTGCCGTTTCCGCCTCCTCCGCAGCCAGCCAGCTGGCAGTGCAGCCGCGCTTCGATCTGAGCTTCCGCAGCAGCAGCGTGTTGCCCGCACAGCTGGGTAAGTCGGCATTGATGCCACTTTATCTTAATTTCTAGTTTATTCTTGTCATTGGCAGAGCTTGGTAAGCTGCGTCAGAAGGATCTCAGTGAGCTCTGGACACGTCCGCAGATATGAAAACCAACGAAAAACTTTCAAAATCTCAAACGTCGCCCGAGATTAATCTAGGCGTTGTGTCTAAGCTTATGTTTTAAGCACAATTTGTTAGGCTAACATATTTATGGCACTTGACCGCACTTTAAAAAACAAAAAAAAAAAAAAAAAGGAAAAAAAAAAACAAAAAGCAAAAAAGACAGTAAAGTTAAGCGCGAGGCTAGTTTAAGATAATCGGCGTTAACCTAATGAAACGCGTTACAAAACCTTTCCTGAACCAAAACAAAAAAAGAAAATACAATGAAAAAAAAAATTCAGATTTCCTCATAAATTTCTGCATGTTACAACTACAACTGTTTTACTATATATATATATACACACATATTACTATTATTATGCGTCTTAGTTAATTATATATGTATACATACAAATATTATAAATATGTATTGTACTAGAATGGTATTATCTAGCATTCAATATGAATGAATTAGCTATTTTCTGTCAGTAGTAAAATTTAAAAACAATTTAACTAGTTATTCGAAAACATACAAAAAAAAAAAAACATAATTAAATGGGGAGACACAAACAAAAAAAGAGTACACAAACAATTTTTTGATAATATTACAAGTAACGGCAACAAAAAAAAAAAAAAAAAAAAAAAAACAATACAAAAACAAAACAAAAAGTATTACATATAAACAAGATATGATTAAAACAAAATCACATGAAATGCACGAAATGTTGTTTAATTTAAATGACAGCACAGCCGCATTAATCATATTCGTAATTTATCTTAACAGTTTTGAATACATTTCGTATATTTTTAAATTCAAATTTGAATAAAGCGCCTTTAACGCGCGCGTAATGCTGGCGCAATCGATAACTTTGCGCTCGTTCCATGCAATGAACTAGTTCCGATTCCGCGGTGCGATAAACGCGAATCGTACGACTAGCCGGGCCGGCACAGCTGTCAGCTGTTAATGTTGTGTTGCGTTTTGCTGAAACATGACTTTGAAGATAATTCAATTAAATGATGTGCAATTAATTAGTTGCTTAAGTGGCGACGAAGAGAATGATGAAATGCTGCAATTTTATTGCCATGATCAAATAAACGAACTGAGCTACTGTGAAAATTTGCCTGTGACACAATTTCAGCAGCGAATTCGGGTGAGCCTGCCTGTTGCAAGACTTTGCCAAAAAGTAACTATCTAAATTGATAATAAAATGATGCTAACAGGAATTGAACAAACGCGTGCACTTTCCCATAAAAGCGGTGCGCACGGCCTTAAGTGGCGCTCATCCGGCAGAGGCTACACTGCGATGTGTCCAGCACAACGGAACGGATGTGGCGGAACCTGATCGGGAGCAGCAGCCGGAGCACCAGGAGCTGCACTCTGTGCTCAGTTTGAAATACCGTATTGTGGGTGCACCGGCGCCGCTTAAATGGGAGTGGCACTTGACCGGCGTGGACAGTGCAATGGTAACAGCTTCTAAAGCTAACCAAGTGCACACTCATGTCATGCTAATTTTTTGCAGTTTTATCGTTACCTCTTGAAGGATGCGCTTCATACCGCCAGCTATCTTAACGAGAATCTGCAGTCCTTGCTCGATGTCGTCAAGAAAAAGGACATAGAACTCAAACAGTATCGCATAGAAGGCGCTCAGTTGCGCAGAAGTAAGAAGGCGTCTATGTATATAAATTATTTATTATATATGTGAATTTGCATTATTACAGCCACCGTGGCCACTGAGCCCTACGATGTGGAGGCTTTTCATGTGCAACACAAACAGCTGCTGGCGGCTGTGGCTGCCTACGTAAAAGTGGGCCAAGCCTTGGATGGAGCTGTCGCCACAGCGCCCATTATTAAAAACGAAACGGCCGTGGGCGTGCCGCCCATGTCCGCCGATGTGGCTACCACAATACCATGCAGCACAGCAGCCACAAGTTCAGCTAAATCAATAAGTCCACGCAACAGGTTTGCCCAACATTTTAAAATCGCATTCAAATCATGTTACTAAATTCACACCTTGCTTGCAGAAAACGCAAGGCTATGGAAACGGGCATACAACATGTGGAACGCAAGGTGCTGCAGCGTCGCCGTGTGCCGCAGCTGCAATACAAGAATACTGAAAGTCAGGAATCGGATTTAGAGGCCAGCCTTGCGGAAGCCATGTCCAATGTTAAGGCTGAAGCTGAGATCAAACAGGAACCAAGCATTGAAATACCAACTCTAATAGATCCAGAAACAAATCCAACCATAGAATCGACTAAAAATGAACTGGATGAAATCATGCAGTTGATCAATCGCACAGCGGAGCAAACCAACAAAATGCTAGAGGAACATAATGTCACCTAAAAACGATAAAGATAGCGATAGGTTTCATTGCTGCGCGCTTTTCCTCTCTTTCTGTATCATAGCCGAAATGCTATTGAGACCAGTTTGTTTTGTTAACGCAATATTTTTGACTCATTTAAATTGTAGAAGAGCAAAAACCTTTTTTATGAATTGCATGTTTTTAGCCAGTTTTTTTACACCTCACCGAATATGCACGAAGGCGTCTTTCCGCCTTTATAGACAAAATTGTAAATAATTATTTAGGCGAAATGTTGAATGTTTAGATCTATTGATCTAAACCATATTGTAAATTGTATTAATTAATTTTATAGGTCTTTACGATGTTATATTTATATAAAGCACTTGATGTTATTAACCCAATACCTAAATGCACATTTCCATATAAAATTGTACTTCAAGCTAATTTTGTCAAGCAAACCTTTTTAAGAATTCATTACAATATGCAATCATGATTTTATAGCTACCTTTTGTAGCACCTATAATTGAAACAAAATTTATATATATCTATATATCTTTATCCATATATCTATATCCATATATCTATATCCATATATATATATATATCTACATATCTATATCTATATCCATATTCAATTCAATTCAATCGCAATCCGACAAAAGTACTTTCAGAACAAGTATAATCCAAAAGTAGAGATAATAATAATCAAAAATTGTAAACTATATGTCGATATCGTTGCAAATCCATGATATGAAAATCATGTACACAAAGCATATTGCATGGTTGCGTATGAGAGAATCCATCTAAATGTATCACGCTTGAGAATTGCCTTCAATTTATCAAGACGTGCACGACCTACGGCCCAGCCCTTTTTGGATTATGTGTTTTTTTCATATTTTATTAATGTTCATGTTCTATCGAGTACGAACGTATAGGTGTGATAGCTTTTTTTTTTTTTAAATTTTTTTTGGATTAATTTCGGCTTGGATTGCCTTCACTTTTGGCATCAAAAATTGTAAAACATGCAGATCTCGTTGACATTATGGTTCAGTATAGTTATCCGTTTATCAGAATTGGAGCCAGCTACTGCGGGTGAGTAAGGGCAATCGGATATATTTCCACATTTGGCATCTGATTGTATATGTGTATTTTTTTTTTTTATTTATTTGTGACTGTTCCGAATTTCAGCAAGTATTCAAATCGATTTCAATTCTAATTAATCGAAACCTTTTCGATAACAATAGATTTTCTTATGAGACTTTTGAATAAATTTGTATTTTTTAAGTGTCGTGAAACAAATACGAAATTGTAAGCTAAGGCTTGACTGCAATACCACGAATGTTCTGCTTTCCATATTCGAGTCAATTTCGCTGCAAACTTTATGTTTACGATTTGTTTTTTTTTTTTTTTAAAGAGTTGGCTTTGGTTCTTAAATCCATTCTGCTTGAAAATCTATGAAATGTTTGCATAAAATTATTTAATAATTGTGTAAAAGCGCAACAATTCGTAATATATATCAATATAATTGACAAGGACACCTGATATTCGAAAAACCTCTGTCCGCTTCCAAGAATCTTCGCATGATCAATGCGCGTAGTTACAACGTTGCGATGCGACTGTGGCGGAATGTACTCGCCCAGTTTTATGATATTGTTAATTTTGGAATTGTTCAAATTGCGATTAGATACAAAACATATATCTAATATGATTTGTTGATGTCGCAAATATCGTGTGATAGATAACTAATATGGGTGTTAACCATGAATGAGGTCTAAATTTATTTCTTTTTGTCCAAATGCCAAGACGACTCGGTGCAGTTCAAGATTGTCGGTGGCACCGTTACCGAAATAGCCAGGACACCATATCAGGTCTCGCTGCGTCTAAAGCAAATTGACAGGCAACAGTTCGGGCGTGGTCACATATGCGGAGGCACGGTTATTAGCCAGCGCTTGGTTGTTACGGCGGCTCATTGTCTCTACGAGTGGGTTAATCTCTCAATATGGCAAGGCCGCATATCATGTTTGTTTCGTTTTTAGCGGAAGAAGCAGAAATATGCGATCCCCCAATGATTTTGTTATTATTATGGGCAACAGCCTTCTTCAGATAAGAAGTGTTTTAATGCAGCAGTATAATGTGCAGAAGTTGATGTCACATCCCCAATACAATCCGACAAACTTACAGAACGATATTGCCCTGTTATTCATTAACGGCTTTGTACCCTGGAAATCGATCGTACGGGCTCTGCCACTCGCCAGGGTAACCGCCGTTGTTGGCACACCTTGCCTAATTTCCGGCTGGGGTAGCACAATCAATGTAAGAAAATTCATTTTAAACACTTCCAATTCTTGTTTACGAAATGCTTGTTTGAATTTAGAATTTGGTATTTTTATAAAAATTTTCAAAATTATGCTTAACGCTTTTATGATTTCAATTTCAATTTTTACTTTTATTTTTCTGCTGATCGATAATGTGACTTATCGATAATGTTTATCGATTAATGTTTGCTTTCATATTTATATTCTTGATATCGTAGTGCTTATCTTCTTTAAAATGTTCACATAATTTCCAAAATATGCTTATCGCTTTTAATTTTCTCGTTATTTTCTTAATTTGCCTACTGATCGATTACGAGACTTATCGATTAATCGAATCATGTTTGCTTTCATATTTGTTTTGGTATTTTCATATAACTTTTAAATAATGCTAACCGCTTTTAAGTTTTTCATCATTTTGGTAAGAGTCCTTAATTTTTTCTTCATTTGCTTACTGATCGATTAGGAAATCGATCGATTAATCGACTATTGTTTGCTTTCAGGGTGGCACTTCTTCGCAAACTCTGCAATCGGCAACTGTGCCCGTGATCAGCCAAACGGACTGCAGTGCCAAATATGGGTATATAAGCGCTGCCCAGCTATGTGCCGGGTATATGAGCGGCGGCATCGATTCCTGCCAGGGCGATTCCGGCGGGCCGCTGCAGTGCCACAATACGCTCGTGGGCATCGTCTCCTTTGGCAGATATTGTGCTGCCCAGGATTCACCTGGCGTCTATACGAATGTTGTATACTATGTCGATTGGATAAAGCAGATGAATCGCTCGCTCGACTATTCGTACTACAGCGGCGATGTGAGAACTGTCGTGTGCTCCAAGCTGGCTGTTTTGGCCATCTTTGTGGCTGTTGTCAGATACTGAATTATTTGGAAAGTAATTAATAAATATTATTTCTTTAGTAGGTATTTCAGATTTGTATTTGTTCTTTTGTTTGCCATGTTAGTTCTGCGATTACCGCTCAACAAATGTGCAAATAGAGCAGGGCCAGAAATTGGATCTGAAGTGCCTCAGCCTCGTGTTCGGTCAATGAAATAATTGAATTTATCTAATCAATGAAACCAGCTCCTTAGTGCGAAATTGATTTCTATGTATTACTGATATATTCATTATACATTTATTTATAAATCTGTGAAAAAAAAAAAAACCGAAAACAATTTCGAGAATCGAGTGACGCCTGTGAGCCGCGTGCCTTACAATCTGGTGAATTTTTATAAATTATAAAAAACAAGCAAACATTTTTCAGAATTCGTCAGAATGTTCAACCTTATAGCTCGATTTATAGCTACAGATAGGGAATATTATAAGTTAAAACAAATATATGTAATATATATATATGTAATAGCTTTAAAAGAGATCTTTGTAAGAATCCAAACCCTTGGACTACTTTATCATTAATCTATTATCGTAAAAAATAGCAAAATTTCTGTTAAGCTAAATTCCAAGAGCTGAGATAAGTTTCTGCCTCACTTGGTGGTTCACCCGATTAAATAATTAATTGTTAACAATTTTTTGATATCGTTGAGCAACTTCACGATTTTATAGGGCCGTAAATCGAAACGGATCTTGTGTTAAACCCATTGATATGATAATCGTGAGCATATAGTATATTGCATGGGTGCGTTTGGGAAAATCCAACGAAATGTTTCACACTTGAGAATTGCACCAATACAGCCACGTGCACACCCTATAGCCATGCCCCGTTTGCTACTCCAGCGGATGGAATGGACTAGCTGTCCGTCATTGAAGAATCTACCCAACGAAATTTACAAAGTGGGTGGGTCTGGCCGGTGAGGGCTGATTAGATTATGTCGGGCATGTATTGCCAGATTTAATTGTGACGATAGCAATTGGCTGGCCAAGTGGCCCTGACGGTCCGTATATTTAGTTGACGTTCTCAGCTCGTACCGTAAATACGAATACTCTACATGGCTCCCAAACGGACAACGATCTTTGCCGTGCTCTTCGGCCTCTATCTGGTAGCGAGCGGTATGTATGCACTCACATCTTCTGCTGTCTATTCTCATGCATCTTGTACGGCTTAGGTGCTAGGCTGGACTCACGGCATATACGGCCCAGATTCAGTGCCGATCCGGGTCGGATTGTCAATGGCACCGTGGCCAATATGGAGGCCACCAGGCATCAGGTCAGTCTTCGGCGTCGCCTCAACGATGGCTACTTCTTTGGCACGGGCCACATTTGCGGCGGCTCCCTGATCAGGCCAAATGTGGTTCTCAGCGCGGCTCATTGCTTTGTGGAGTAAGTATCCGGTATAACTCCCAGCTGATCTTTAGTCAAATATTACGTTCAACGTTTTTTGTGACATTTTCGATTCTTACTGCCGACACGATTAGCCAATCTCAATCGTTATATGTTGTCCCCGTAACCGATCTCTACAACTATTTCATTGATTTCATTCTACAGCCAGATCATCTACGATGGCCGCTTTTTGCCCAAGGAGGACTTTATAGTGGTTATGGGCAATTTGGATCGCTTCGAGACGGCAAACACCCTAACCTTTGACATTGATCAGCTCATCCTGCAGCTGGACATCTTTGATCTGGGCACATATAACAAGGATATTGCGCTGCTTATTCTCAGTGGCTCAGTGCCCGCCAATCATCCCACCATACGTCCCATTGCACTGAGCTCCGTGGCCGTACCTGCGGAAACCGTTTGCCAGGTAACTGGCTGGGGCACCACCGAGGAGGGCTACGGCTCTGATATACTCATGACCCTGGATGTGCCCATGCTTAGCGATGCGCAGTGCATCAACGAGAGCGCATTGGGTCATTTAATACTGCCCGGTATGATTTGTGCCGGCTACATGGAGGGTGAGCGCGATGCCTGCAATGGCGACTCTGGCGGACCGCTCGTCTGCCAGAGCCAGCTGGCGGGCGTTGTCTCCTGGGGCATTGGCTGCGCTCTGCCTGAGCTGCCAGGTGTTTACACCGAGGTATCCTACTACTACGAGTGGATAATCGAGCAAATCGACGAGGCAAATGGTGGCAGCGGCGAGGGCAGCGGAGAGGGCAGTGGAGAGGGCAGTGGAGAGGGCAGTGGAGAGGGCAGCACAGAGACCACCACGGAGGAGAGCACAGAGACCACCACGGAGGTCAGCCCAGAGGGCGGCGACGATGGCGTCGCTATAATCACAGTTACCTATGCTCTGAGTGTGGCGGTGCCCGTGCTGCTTGGCCTGAGCCACTTTTCTTAATTGTAAAATAACGATACGCTAAAATTCTATTTTTTTTTTGTCAATATATAAACTTTAAGCTTAAGTTTAATGCCCATATGTTATAAGGTCATCAAGAACAGCTCCCAAAACCAACAAGGAAGCCACACATGGGATTGGGCCAAGGATTGGGTAAAGGAAGATATTTTTGGTCCGGACCTCTATTAGGGTTATCTAAAGTTTTCAGTTAGATCTTAGCATCTAGATAGCCTTGGATTCATCTATGAGAGGATCTTCTGGCATTTATTGCTGTTCTGCTAAAGTGGTTTGTTCCTTCAAGTGAATCTGCACATGATCCAAGTACAGATATCTGGCTGAGAGTACGAAGGGGGGAGACTGACAGAATGTTAGATAAAGCTCAGAGCTGTCAGACAGAACCAGAACAGATATGAAGTGGATCTTTTTGCTAAACTCCTGCGGAGCCCGTTCGTTTTGATTCAAAATCAAGATCTTCATATAGCTTGAGCGTAGTATGCCATGAATTTCTGCATAAGGTTTTTAATATATAGGTATATAAGTTAGCTTAAAGTTCTCAGTTTATATTTTGTATACAGAAGTTTGAAGATATGGATCTTTTGTTATACGTGAATTCGGGCGGTAAGGTAAGTGTGATACTGTTGCTGCTGATTCTGCTCTGGACCACGCTGGACATGACCAAGGCTGAGCTGAACACAACCAAAGTGCCAGGCAACCATCAGCTCTCCATGCAAATCCTTGACAATAATACATATGCCGATCAGGCGCCAGTCGATTATTATGTGTCCCTGCGCCAGCGCCACAAGGAAACCTTTCGCTATGGGTCCGGCCATGTGTGCGGTGGTGCGCTCATTAGCCCCAATGTGGTGGCAACCGCAGCGCATTGCTTTGTAGAGTAGGTGCTGGCTGGGTTTGGGGCCGTAGATGTTGCGTCTGATCTTGTGTTATTCGCCCGCAGCCAGACCAGGTACGATGGCAGCTTTCTGCCCATATCGCGGTTCCTGGTGGTGCTGGGAAGCCAGCCTCGCTTTGTTCGCGACGAGCAGGCGTTATCCTTTTCGCTGGAGTGGCTGCTAATGAACCTGACCAAGTTTGATACGAGCACCTACGACAAGGACATCGCATTGATCATACTGAACGCCACAGTGCCGTACATCATGCAGCCCATCCAGTTCAGCGAGACAGCCGCTCAGCCGGAAGCCACGTGCCACATCAGAGGCTGGAACAATAGTCAAATGGAGTACTACTTGGGCGAGATGATTAGGCTGAATGTGACGCTCATCGATGAGAGAGCTTGCAAGGGTGCCTCCAATCTTATTGAGAAGTTCCTGCGCCCTGGCATGCTGTGTGCCAGCAATGCGAACAAGGATCAGCTGGATGGATGCACCGTCGATGCGGGTGAGCCGCTCCTCTGCGACGGCAAGCTGGTCGGCATCAGCTCGTGGGGCATTAGGTGCGGCATGCCCCAAATTCCCGGTGTCTATGCCAATGTGACACACTACAGGCATTGGATAGACAATACCATTGCGAGCTATCAATTGAAAGATCCCCAAAATCCAAAGTATGGCCATAGCGAACTCATGCGCTCGGACGAGTTCGAGGATGTTGCCAGATCATCTGGCACCAAGTTCGAACGACTATACAGGACAATACTCTACCTAGGTATTATGCTGAGTCTATGCTATTTCTAGAGCGAATCAGAAGCACACACACACACACACACATACACGATCATTTATACGGAGACAACCCATGAATCATAGCATACTTTTAGGACGCGTTGGAATAACCCATTTTGGAGTAATGGATCATTGATAAGATGAAACACTTTATATGACCAAAAACACAACGTAAATTAAATGTACTTCAAATCGAAAACCCGAAAATAGTTTAAGACGCAATTATCAAAGGCCAACGGCGATTTGTTTTGCTCGCCAATTCCTCAGCTTGGTTAAATATATATCAGCCATAAATCCGGATAGAGAACCACTAAAGATAATGTTTGGGGAAAATCAGAAATGGGATTTCTAACTTAATCATAGAAATGAGCAAAAAGTGAATGACTATAATTCTGTTTTGATAAGGTAGAGTGGAATTGCCACTATTTCCCTATATATTGTTCAGCTCTTATCTGTTGTCCCTGCTATATATATGCTCTATATATTTGTAATTGTTCCAGATAAAACCCTATTGGTACATGTTTAGTCTCATAATCAAAATGCCAAAAAGTTGTCTAAGAATTTATATTCTTATCATTTAAGAACATTTGCTTAACTGCCTTCGGCTACAGGGTATAACCAAGTCGATTTGGTTAGTTGGTTGGTATTAGTATTGGACAATTCCCAAACCTTATCAAGCAGCAGCAATCGCTAGTTAATTGCAGTTCGGCTATGTAATCGTCGGGCCTGTCAATTTCCATAGACGTGCTTCAGAAACATGCGCGCTGCATGTGACTGACATTTGCCAAGTATTGCGAAAGTTTGCATTGTGGGATGGTTCTGTAGGTACTGCCACCACCGGGAAGTAGCTGGTGAGCAGTTCAAGGTCAAGGGGTTGCGACACACTTAAGACGCGCTGTATCTACATTTGTATAAGATATGCCACATAGATTTTGTCTCATATTCAAATATTTTATAAAATATTTTAGGGTCGGCTTATAGTATAATTGATTCGAGAATCTGATTTGAATGAAACACTTACGTCTCTGTTGAAATCGGATATTTATTTATTTTAGGCAAGCCAATATGAGAAGCTGAAATTTCTTAGAAATTCTTAACAGCTGTTCAAAAATGACAGACTGCTATAAATCGCCTTTTACTAACATTGACATGTTAGCTGCATGTTATTTAAGTAATTAATATTGCATTCTATAATTTAATACTCCTCGTGTAATGTAAGAAGCTAAGATTTGTGAAAACTGCTTAACAGCTGTCTATTTAAGCAACACGCTCTTATTAACAGCTTGTTACTAACATTGATATGTTACGTGCATGTTAAACAGCTGTTATTATGCTTCGGCAATTAGCCGTGGTTTATTTTTAGGCTCGCATTTTGCGTTTCAGTTAGTAACAGAAATTAACGCACGCGTCTAAAATTAAAAGTTAGTCTTACTGATAAATACGAGTTTAAAAAAACAATAGGCCGAATGCCAAATACCCTACACAGTGGTATTTATAGACGTACAAATCTGTCTTATCAGTGGGTACGCCAAGTACAAGTGCACGTTTCTAGGTCAAGCTATGTTTGCTGTGGTATTTCTTTAAAATATTCGCCAAGCGCCTGCCTAAGCTGACTTTTCAATCAGCATCAATGCCCAAAGGCAGGGTATACCAGGCTGTCAACTGCAAATGCACTGATCGCAATTTAAATATTAATATAAACAAAATGAAAAATCGAAGAAAAAAAGAAAATATTAATAAATAATCAGAGGTCTTATCATTAAGCGCTTATGACAGTTTCCATGTGTGTGTGCGTGAGTGTGTGCGTGCTTTATATGGCGTTGCTCGAATGTTGTGACTTTATCAATAAATATAAACAAAAAAAAGGCAAAACAATAAAGAACCTCTATCTGTGGCATGCCGAAGAGTAAATACCCTTGTGGCATATGGCTTAAAAGTGCCTTTAGACAAAAATCCTCATATCCCAATCGATTGTCTCTGTATTTGACGATTGGTTAAGATATCTTGAGCTATGCATATGATATGGTAGCACGGTCTTGATAAGGAGTATCTCATGCAAGAGCTAAATTTGATCAAGGAGAAAACATAAAACTGAGTGATATACTTTTGTGTATAGTGATACGATTCTGCTTTAAGTCTGAGAGCCCTTTACATGATTTGTATTATATGCATTAAAAACAGTTAGACGGACAGATAGGAATAGATTGAGTATGTGACAAAAGTCGAATACTCTCTGTAAGAGCATACAAAACACGAACAACAAAAACAAAAGCATAAACATCGCCCGAAATCAAAACAAAATTGAATAATCTGAGGGAAAAGCGTTGCGAATTTGCTTTCGTACGTTTTAGAAGTGAATTAATTCATTCAACGTTTGGAGCTCTATCAAGGTGCGCACTATCTACGCGGCTCTACCAAGTTGAACAAGTGTCTTACCATCTGGATTAATTAATTGGCTAATCCCCAGTTCGACTTCTCAGCAATGCAACTCAACGAGCACCTTAGGCGCATCATCAAAATACTGATATTTGCATTCCTGTGCACCGAAATGCAGACAAGTAAGTTGTGATTCACTTAAAAATCGATTTAAGATTGGTTCAACTAGGTCTCGGGTACTATTAAGTTCTTCCTTAGAGCTAGGCTACCTATATTCCATATAAAGTATATACTAAGCATGTTTTCTTTTTGAAACTTGGAATTTTCTCATCGGCTATAAGACACATATGACATATATATACATTTATATGCATATATGTATATTTGTACATATATGATTTACAAATGCATGTTATTCGCATATAGATAAGAATCTACTCGAAAATAGATCGATCTTAGAGACTTGAGTTGATTATTAGAGATGGGATTAGATCGCAAAGAAAGAAAAGAAAATAAAAAGTATTAAGTATATATGCATATATATTAAAAAGAAAATACATATCTTATAGCATCTATTATTAGCTAGCTAATTTTTAAAAATATTAATGCTCATATTTCATTGGATTTTTCGTGCCTTTTTAAAAAATAAGTTTTGAAATCGCTCACGATTTCTGATTTTATATGATTACACGAGCCCAAATCTGATCCGAAAACGTACGATTTCTAGCTAGATGTTTTCTTTTGCAAGACTTCAAAAATAATTTTGTGATAAGTTTTAATTAGATATTCCAGATATATTATTTCTATGAATTTCAAAGAAACTATGATAAGAGGTCTTATCTTTACCATACCATATATATAAATTTATATATCATAAATTCGCAACTCAATATAGTTTTGCAAACGTGTCCTTATAGCCATGCTCGACTGTATCTGCAGCTTTAGTTTGTGACAGATTAGAAAAGTCAAGGCCTATCAAAAATAACCAATTCATAGTTTCCGGCGTGGTTCTGACCAACAACTATTGGACAGGTAGTGCCATAAGACACGCGCGTCGAGCGCTCAAGAGCGTGTGATATCGTCAACAACGATAATACTAATACCCCTGACAATGGGTGGCACGAGAACTATAAAGCGACGATCAGCTGATCGGGGAATGCGTTCGCGTCGTTCGCGTCGATAGTGATAAGCCAAATGGATCACACCATATGAAATGCATTGGCGACGTTGCCAAGGCCAATTCCTCACCAGACGGCTTTTTCATAATCTTTCAATAAACTTTGATTCTGCACAAAATTAACCAAAAGCAAAAACAAAGTTCAAAGTTTGTTAAGAGTGCACTCATATGATGCCGTCCGCAAAGTAGAAGCAGAAGAAGATTTATCAAAACATATATGTATTTTGCCTAGCAAAGAGATGAAGAAGCATTTGTGCATTTATTTATAAAAGAAATCATGAAAGTTTGTGTATGCTCTAGTCAAGTCCTTCTGCTCTATTTGTATCTTATATGAACTTTGCATTTATCTTTTCAAACCCGCCTCCAGCCTTCACCCATCGCGAGTTGGCAAAACAGCGCGGCATAGGCACGTCCAATGCCGCTGGTGGCAGGCGCAGAGCACCTTACCAGGCCTCCATACGACTGCTTGACCAGGAGCTGGACTATTTTGGCAAAGGTCACATCTGTTCGGGCGCGCTCGTGGGTCCCTCTGTGGTGCTCACAGTAGCCCACTGCCTGTACAAGTAGGTATAGAATATATGATCGGCGTCAGATCGAGACTAATCCCAGTTTGAAACACCTGCCTTTTAGAAACGACAACAAGAGCTTCTATCATCCCGCCGAACTGCGCGTGGTGCTGGGCAGCACGCAGCGCTTTGCGCCCACAGCACATGCCCAGGTGTATGGTGTGACCCATGTCTATCAGCCGCCCAAGCAGCTGTCCCTGGCCATACTTATGCTAGATCAGGATGTGCCCGCCCAACAGACGCGCATACAGCCCATATCGCTGCCCGTGGACACACAGCACCTGGAGTCGGATCCGGCGCCTTGGCACATTAGCAGCTGGGGTCTGGCCGGCGATGATGGTCATGAGCTGCACGAAATGCTGAGGCTACGTGTCCAGCCCTCGCCCTGCCAGGAGCTGCAGCAGCTGTGCGTGCAGTACGAAAACCAGGCAGAGAATGCCGCCTACGAGTTGGATGCAGGTGCTCCGCTGACCAAGTCCAATCAGCTGCTCGGCCTGCGCAGCAAGTCCTCTGCCTTTGTGGACGTCGCCAGCCACGTGGACTGGATACTGGCTCAAACTGGCAATGGCACCAATCAGAACAGCTCCATTTGGGGCATTCTGGGGCTGCTTGTCTTTACCATCTATGTGGTCAAGTGCAGCCGCAAGAGCTTCATTTCTTGAGCGTCGTCCAAACGACGTTTCGACTAGGATTTGTTTGGGTTTGTGGACATGAAAACTGATATCAAAGCTTTCGTTAGCCACTTTATTTGTTTTCAAAAAACAAATACTTGAAATGTGATAATCGCTATTAGGGGTATGCCGGCAACATCTATATGTGAGAATTCTATTGGCTGGCAATGATTTCAAATTGACAAATTCAATTTTTTATATACATTTTTTGCCCATGAAACATATTAATTATTTTTTCTCAAAAACTCTTAATAGAGATTTTAGGCACTACCCCATATAGGTAAATATATATATTTTTTTTTTTTAATAAATATATATACGAAATTTTATCTATATACAGTTATAAGTAGAATAAACAATTGATATGCATTTTCCATATTTTATTTGGAATTAATTACATAAAGTAATTGATATCGC